CTCCATAAGGATCCTCTTCGATGCCCATCTTCCTCTTGAAGTAGATTGGTGATGCCAGGAGCAGAGTGTCTCATTGTCATGAAAAGTCCTAAGTTATTAAAACATTTAAAATGCCATATTCTATAATCTTTGAAAAATATGAAGAATGCCTATCTAAAATATATCTATGCATATCTAGAAAATCTTAACTAACATGACTACAAACTTGACTATTAGCGATGATTATCCATTAACAACCTATATTTCCTAATTATACATTACATTTTTAAATGAACTACACAATCACAATACCTTAATCAAGATCAAAAATACATATACATATAACAAAATTGACCATAAAATCCATACCAATTCAAATTATTCATATCTATATCAGGCTGTTGGGGGCTGGGGTCGGGCCTGCTGTAGCCCCACCCTCTCTCCCATTTCTCAATAGCTGTTCCTTTTTCTTCGTTTTCCTTGAGTGAAGTTCACTGTGAGAGCCCTGCCCACAGCTGGTCCCTGGTGCCCCCACCGTATGGGCGTCTGCAGAAACTGTGACCAAGTGTAGAGTCTCTGGAGCCTCTGAGCTCTTCTTCCCAGCTTCCCAGCTGCGTGACTTTTCTGAGGAGAGGAGAACAAACACTTGTTCACCCCAGATCGGGCACTCGTTACAGATGAAAGAAATAGTTCCAATAGTCTATCCTAGTCAGCCAGCGAGTTTATCATGGTCACTGGACAGGAGCATGGATGACAGCGGCCAAAAACTCCACTCCTGGGGTTCCCTCAGCTGATTGGAGAGTCCCCTCTTCCCAGGATTTGCATGGCTGATGTAGCCTTGGGATGGGACCTTGTGAACACTGCACTCCCCAGCCCCCCAAGTTCCAAGAGCTCCCTCAGTGGATTTTATTTCTTCCTGTGGTTTGTGGGGTTTGTTTACTTCCTGCGACTTAAAGAGCTTCCCTCCACGAGGAAGGGATGGAGCGTTTAAACCTCAGGAAACGGCTATGTGACATTGTACTCCTCTCTGTCCCCAGGTATTTCATCTCTCACAAGCCAAACAAGACGTGGCAGCAGGTGTTCTGGTTCGCCATCAGCATCGCCGTCAACAACGCCTACATCCTATACAAAATGTCAGATGCCTACCATGTGAAGAGGTACAGCCGGGCTCAGTTTGGAGAGAGACTTGTCAGGGAGTTGCTGGGCCTGGAGGATGCATCACCAGCCCACTGAGACTGTGCTGGCCCAGGGGTGGCAGGGACAAGGAGGGAGCCAGTCACCTGCCTGCCTGTTGGAGGGCCCATGTGTGGCCAGAGGGTCTGCTTTCAGCATCACCCTCCCGAAGGGGGGTGGGCTCCCCAGAGCCCGGTACAGGTGACTGGAGGGGCTGTGGTGGCGGAAGCTACCAGCAGCAGGACCAGTGGACCATCCTCTGCTGCCCAGAGCTCGAGAGATCATGACAGGCTCAAGTTCAGACCAGGCAAGCTTGCAAAATAGGCCACTCAGTGCCACCACTCAGCACCTAGGAACGCGTGTGATCAGCTTAGATGGCTCCCTTGAAAGAAGACATGCAGTGTGGTGGTGCCGTTAAAACTTCAGGAGACAGGAGCGGCTGCAGCTTGTTGACTAAACAGGGTGTTCCTGCTGCATCCTCCACGGGGCTGGTGGGGGGCAGGGCAGAGAGGGAACCGAGAGGGTCACAGAGAAGAGCAATGCTGTTTTTTATTTTTCAATATATCTTCAGGTTATTTTCCTACTGTTGCTTAAGGTCTACTGTAAACAAGATGTGTCCCTTGCTCTCCCACCCCGACTCCCTCACAGTCCCCTGCATGGTCACAGTCTGTGTCTGGCCTGGGGACCCGACTCCCTCACAGTCCCCTGCATGGTCACAGTCTGTGTCTGGCCTGGGGACCCGCAGGCTGTGCTCTTCGTCATCCTGTCGTTGTTGGCAGAATTACTTGTTTTGAGAAATACGTAGCGTTGTGAAAACAAAATCCTCCAACATCCTTTCTCCGCGTGTGGTGGTCCCCCAGAAAGGTACGGCTGGATCGGGAGGCCCTGGCTAGGGAACCCCCTGTGACTCGGCCTGAGGTTGGGGACTTCCCACAGCAGGGGCCGGCAGCAGCTGGCAGGAAGGCGTGTGGAACCCAAAGACCCAGGCCCTTCCGCCAGAGGTTGACGCATCTCCACGGAGCCTCCGCCCCGAGGTGGATCCACCATCCCCACACACGGGAAACGAGTGATCTCTGCACCTTGCAGCAGCCCCTTCATCCGAGCGCCAGCGCCACCTAATCTCTCCAGACACACGATGTCCTCAACGGGGGCTTCGGGGCACTCTTCCGTGTTCATTTGGTGAGCTGAGGTGTGGCTGCACCTCGTCACTTCTGTGTCCTCCCTGGTGGGACCCGCGATGCTGTGGATCGTGGGCCCGATTTCAGATTGTGTTTGAGATAATCTTTGCTGTACCCTTAACTGGATTGCGAGCACTTTTGCCACGTGGAGAAATATATTTTTAATTTGTGACGCTTTTCTACAAGGTCCACCTTTTTCTGAGTTCAGGTGTTTCCAACACTTAGGGAGACTAACGAAGGCCAATGACTTTTTCTTTTCTGTCCAAACAAGAAAAATAAAAATAAAAGTCTATTTAGATGTCGGCTGTTAGTATGTGGCTTTGTTTCCAGGGTCAGGGTTAGAACGCTACTCCTCTGACCTTGCTTCCCCATCATGTGACCAGGTACTTGTGAGCTAAACTGTTGGTGGAATCCTGAGCCACAGGAGAGTTTGTCAGAGGAATCAGCGAGGATTGATGTGTGGATATACATCTGAGTGAGTGGCAGTAGCTCTGAGTGTAGCTGTGCAGACTCCCCCCCCCCCAAGTTATTTTTAGTCTTGGTTACCTGAGGTCAGCTGTGATCCGAAAATACTAAATGAAAAATTCTAGAAATAAACCTTCCATAAGTTGTAAACTTTTACTATAACACATTGCTACAATTGTTGTATTTTATCGTTAACTTCTTACTGTGCCTAATTAAACTTCATCACAAGAGTGTAAGTAAAGAAAGAAATACAGTGTGTGATTCCAGCACCCACGCATGGTCTTGGGTCTCAGAAACATTCCCTGCTGAGGGACGGCTAGGGACCATTGGGTCGCTCCCACAGGAGGCCAGCAGGTGGCGCTGTTCTACCGGGCCTTTGCTCCCGTGACCCGCTGGAGCCACCCCAGGAGTGCAGGTACTCTTTGTGGCTCTGGTGCCACCTGTTTTCTCTGAATAGTGGGAAGATGGCAGCTCGGCCGTGGGGGCACGGCAGCCTGTGAGGCACCTGTGGGCTGGGGTTAGAAAACCTTCAGCTTTGGGCCTTTGCTCCACAGGTGTGCCTTGGAATGACTTGGGGCACCGCTGTCAGTAAACTCACTGGACAAGGCCAGTGTCTCCTGGTCCTGAAGCAGACTCTGACTGTTCAGGAAGCAGACGTCCCTGGTCCCTGTGTCCGCTTTCTGTCACCCAGACAGAAGGCAGAAGGCGGGCCTGTTAGATCACAAGGCCAGACCGTCCTTCTCACAGCTGCAGGCGTCTTAGCACATAGCTCACCCTTCTGGTTTAACAAGGCAGAACATCTTGACAAGAGGACATGGGAGAACAAAGCTGTTGACTCTGTGGCAGCAAGGAAGTAAAAGGTCCCAGTGTCCTGTTCAAAGGCACACCCTGACGGCCTAGCCTCCTTCCGCTGGACACCCCCCTTCCCGTTCTGCCACCACCCAGTAGTGCACAGACTGATGAAGATGCCCTCAACATGGCCTTTGGGACGACAGTGACCCAGGAAGTAATTCTCCCAGAGGTGTAGCACAAGTCCCAAATCCTTGCACGTCCCACATGTCACCACTTCCCCAGGGATGGGCCTGGCAGAACATACGGGACCAGCGGCACCACACTTCCTATGGCCAGTGAGGCCTCTCTCAGTTTAAATGTGTTCCCCAGAGGTTTTCTTCGTTACCAGGCATAGATATGAAAAAATTATGAACTCCAGACCCCTCCTATGAAACAAACCCCAGAATTTCTCTAAGGCAAATGGTCCTCAAGGCCCCCTGAGCAAGTCACGCTGTTATCCAGGGGATGCGGTGTGTGGTTAGCAGTGGCCTCTGGTGAACTCAGTTCAGAACATAAATATCTGTGTATTTGCCCCTTTCCTTTCTAGGTTCAGTATTTGTCTGACAGGAGGCTCTGATCGGTACATTGTCTTCCGTGGTCTTTGGGTCACCTTTGAAAACTTGGGTGGATCATTCTAGGCAAAGACTCCCTGGCTACTGACTAACCAAGGAGGCTCTCCGCCAAGATGGAGTAGCCTGTGTGTAAGAGTCAAGATGAACTCTTCCCCAGCCCACGGCCCAAGGCTCTAAATCTCTCATCTACAGCCAGCCCTCGGCTACCACTTCCCTGAAGCCAGCCTCAGCACCTGAGGCTGTGGGTGTGGAACAGTCCTGTGGGGCAGTCACAAGGGTGGCACCAGGGTCACTTCCTGCGAGGGGGGCCAGTCACAAGGGTGGCACCAGGGTCACTTCCTGCGGGGCAAGCGGGACCGATCTGCCCTTCTTGTGGGCTCGTCAAGGGTACAGGTCATGTCATGTGTGGCCAGCAGTGGGTTAGAACAAACAGGCAGGCAAGCATGAAGAGGCCCCGAGTGAGGCCCTCTGTGCCTTCCCAAAAAATTATTAATAAGACAGTAAATTTAAGGTTTTTTTTTTACTTTAAGATTGTCTTTAATTTTGCTGCAAGACAAAGAAGGAAGGAAAGGGGAGAGGGAGAGAGAGAGAGGGAGAGGGAGAGAGAATTCATCTGGTGGCTAGAGAGATGGCTCAGTGGTTAAGAACACTTGCTGCTCTTACAGAGGACCCAAATCCAGTCCCCAGCACCCACACCAGGTGGTTCACAGCTTCCTGTAACTCCAGCTCCAGAGATCCCACACCTTCATTCTGGACTCTGCAGAAACCTGCACTCACACACACACATTCACTCGCACACAGACACACACTTGTACACATCAGTAAAAATAAGTATTTTAAAAGTTCACCTTGAGTTTGCAAGGTAGGAAGATGGGTGCATTCAGTTCCATGCATTTTCAGGTGTAAACTGAGGATCTGGGGTTTAAGGGCTGTGGCAGGATTTCACTTGAGGCTTTCTTCCCTGGCATCATTTTGTTCTGATGCCCAATGCCAAGTAACCTCCAAATCCATAGGAGGACAGTGTTAACTTAAACCTGCAGGCAAGGCTCTCTGGGACCCTAACAGTCAAACCAGGCACTGGCCTCACCCGCAGCTAGAGCCAGTGACTAGGAAGGGGCCAGGATGGGAGCCCCCACATGGATACACGCGGAAGGGATGGGTGAAAGAACCGGGGGTGATAGGTGGTCAGCCCTGACCTGGGGGGCCTGGACAGTGGCCTCTGAGCTTCTTGGTCATTTGTGAAAAGGTGTTGTGTACTAGTCTTTCTTTTAGGCCACCAACCAGCTCCTAAATCATGACAGACTTCTTAGTCGTAAATGCTCAGCCTAACTGAGGCTCCTTTCTGGCTGTTCCTTAACTTAAATTAACCTGCTTCTTTTATTTAGCATTTGCCTTGGGGCTTATTACCTTTCTTCTGTAATCTCACTCTCACTGCTTCTTAGACGTCTGCCTGGCTTCTTGCCCCAGGCACATCCCTCTTTCTCCCTTCCTCCCTCTTACCTTCCGAGACCAGGTTTCTCATCCTATCTGCTCACTCCCTGGCAGCCCCCACCTGCCCTTTTCCTGCCTAGCTACGGCCAGTCGGCTCTTAATTAGACTAATCAGGTGCCTTCGGCAGGCGAGGTGAAACAAAGCAACGCACGTGTACATACTTAAACAAACGCAGCGTAAACAAAAGTAACACACCTTCACTCAGTTCACGTAATATTCCTCAGCATAAACAAATGTAGCACATCTTTGCCCAGTTAAAATAATATTCCATAGAAGTATTAGATTTGAGTGGCCCCAGGGCTGGATGGGGCCTAATGGGTGTTGTCTCTGAGAGGTAGCCTCCAGCACTGGGGGGAAGAAGTGTCCAGCATTCAGTGCTGGCTAGCTGGAGACAAGGCTCTTCCAGAGACTGAGGACAACCCGCCAGGGGCAGCTGATCCTGGAAATTGCTCTCGAGGAGTGCTGGCCCCCGTGGGTGGGAGGGGCCTCTAAGTCCACCTGTAGGCCTGGGCAGGGCATCTGTTTGAAGTGCTGACCCTCAAGAAAAGCACACATTCAGGAAGCCCAGCCCTAGCTCTGGGCTCACAGATGGTGACCGGACAGCCTATCCTGAGTTCCCTGCTCCCTTAAGAGGAGCGTGAACTAACGCCATGAACATGGTCTGGACCTAAGAACGCTGTCTCCCAAGCCCCCCCGTTTCAGGTGGACGTTTCTGACCACTCCTGGGGAGCAGCCATGTATCACAAGGACATCGCCGGGACACCTCTGGTCAGAGGAGACGGTAAGTCTCAGTTTAATACAAATTCCATAGACCGTGAGGTAAGGCTGTGGCCTTCTGTGTAACTTATGACCCCTGTGAGGATAGTTCAGGTATCCAGTTATGTTTGTTCCGTCACCAGTGTTTTACAGCCCGAAACTCTGAAGTATGGTCACATACATAGTGTTTCCTACTCTCTGGGTCTCTTGGGGTGAAAGGACATGATAAATGTGCTCACACAAAATGCCAGGTTTGCTGGTGGACACAGCTGCTCTAACCGTTTGAGTATAAAATGTCACTGGGAACGGATGTTGCTGAAGGCTGGGTCCCTGGAGGTGTGGTGCTCTTGTGAGATGACTGAGCCGTGACTTAGCAGCTGGTGAGGTCACAGCTGAGTGAGAGCCACTGGACAGCAGACAGGGCCTGCTTAGAGGAAGTGGTTACTGGAGGCATGCCTTTAAAAGCTCGCCTTGTTCCTGGTCCCTTCACCCTTCACCCTCTGCCTCCTCTGGCCACTGTAGAGTCGGGTCCTTCAACCAGTGTTTCTGCCATGCCACGGCCTGAAAGCAAGGGACTTAAGCCATAAGTAAAAATAACCCTTTCTTCCTCTAAGTGGTGTCTCAGATAATGTCGTCTCAAAAGCCTGACTGATAGATCTGGGATTAGGCCACGCTTGGGAACCCCACCCATGGCTGTGGGAGATGAAGACAGGCTGGGGTCCCTGGCTGACCCATTTTGTGGCTGCTCCCTGCGTCTTCTTGTCTCCACTTCCTTTCTCCCTCTGCCATAGGCTGTTTGTTCCCTGTAGCTAGCTAGCGGCTCCCTCAAACACTGGCCTGCAGGCCTTTGCATTCTCGGCCCTGAGGGAAATCTGGAATCTGGACTGAGCATCACAGTAAGCAGTGAAGAGGCCCAAAGGTGACATGTGAGCAAAGAGGGAGCCCTGTGTAGAGGGCTGGGCCCCGGGTCCAGGTTCCCGTGTGACTTGGCCGATAGCCTGCGCTTAGGAAATCTGCCTAGGGGAGGAGCTCAGATGAAGACTGAAAGGGAATGTGGCTCTGGCCTTGCTGGTTGATCGAGTTGTGGGGACCGTGGGAACAATGACTAGGAAGAGGATGGTTTCATTTTCCGGGGTTCTGTTCTATTTTATTACTAGAGAACACAAGGGTGTTAAGGGGGCTGGAGA